CTGACGATAACTGTGGGATCTGCACAGGTGGACGTAGGGTGGCATTGAACACGTAATTCACAACACTCCCAGATTTAGCTGACCTGAGGGTATAAAAGAGCATTGGACAGAGGTTGTCAGGACAGAAAGTTTAAGGAGACTGCAGATATGCTCAGGTTTCTTCTGTTGACCTCTCTTGCAGCCCTGGGTAAGTACCACCTAGTCTATTTTGAAGATTCTCCAGAGAAACCCCATATAGACTTAAATGTAATAGTTCTTTTGGATATCTGCTTTTCTCAGTTCTGGCTGAACCCCAGCCCAGGTACCTGGAGGACAGTGTTGGTGAAGAAAGAGTTGTGGGAGGAGAGGTGGCCAGACCTAACTCATGGCCATGGCAGGTATACTTCAAATCCTTTCAGACCTTATAATCCATGTGTTGCAAACTTAACAAAACAATCACCACCATAAAGACAAGACAAAAAGGCCTAAAAGTAGCTTTAAAGTTATTTAAAAATACAAGAAAACATGCAAATTTCATGGAACTTGCTTGCTGACATTAATAAGTGAAATCTTCAGCATCAGATTTTAAACTGATCACATCTGCTTTATAACTCAAGTACACCAACTGATAAATGTAATGAAAGTATATGTCCCTTAAATATTTCTCTAAAACAAGTCCAGGAATTATTACTATTTTTTCTCAATCAAACCTGGACATTTTCCTTTGAATCTCTTCATTCCCGTCAAGAGTTAGAGCTTATTTTTAGAAAGTGTTTTTAAGACATTGGAGAAAAGGTTTGGGGTTTGCTTACTTGTGTTTGCAAAACTGTCTCTTGGTGTTTTTCAGATCTCCCTTCAGTACAAATCTGGAAGCTACTTCTACCACACCTGTGGAGGAACTCTTGTTCGGAGAGGATGGGTCATGACTGCTGCTCACTGTGTGGACAGGTGGGAATCTTATGCATCATGGAAAAGCTGAAGAGATCAAAAACAAGAGAACAAGCAATTTTCATAGACCTGAATACTACTGTCCTACTTGTTAGAGATTCAGCTTCAAATAACTATAGATCATTTTGTTATTTTTTTTTTTTTGAATCATCTTGTATAAGTAATAACTAAAAGAAACTTCTTGTCTCTTCTGCATGGGCAAAAGATCAATGACTTGGCGTGTCGTTCTTGGAGATCATGACATCAGCAACAACGAGGGAAAAGAGCAGTACTTGAGCGTCAGCCAGGTCTACATCCACCCTAACTGGAACTCCAACAATGTGGCTGGAGGGTTAGTAAGAATGTAGTTTTGCCAGTTCTTAATGTGTATAGGGCAAAAAAGACCGACCTATACGTCAAATGCCACATGTTAAGTAATCTTGCACTTAAGTTTTAAAAACAAGAAGAATGTGTGTAATCTGATGCTTACTTGTTATGTATAATACTTTCCATGTAAAAAAATATATATTTTATGTTGTTTTCTTCTTTAATTGTTACTATAACTTCCAGGGAAGAGCATCAGTTAAGTAATTGCCAGCATAACCGTTGAGAAAAAAAGAAGTTTTTGTTGCTTAACTTCTGTTAAAAGATATGTGATACCTATTTCTTGAACAATACGGTTTTAATGGATTTTTGAATAAAATAACATTTTGGTTAGGTGGTTTTATTATTTTAAAAGAACTAAGAAATATGTTTCTTTATAGAGTTAAATTGTATTCACAACTCACCTTCCAAGAATCTTAAAAAAATTGGTATTTGCTTCCTGCGTCTTGTAGTTACGACATTGCTCTGCTGCGTCTGTCCACTGACGCTGTCCTCAACAACTACGTCCAGCTGGGCATTCTTCCTCCCTCCGGTCAGGTTCTGGCCCACAACCCCCCTGCTACATCACTGGATGGGGACGCACTCAGAGTGAGTCAAACACAATTTCACACCAAGATGATTAACATGGTGGACGTTCAGATAGGTAATGATATGTTTGGCTGTTTTTCCCAGCTGGTGGTAACCTGTCTGCTCAGCTGAAGCAAGCCTACCTGCCTGTTGTTGATCACAACACCTGCACCAGCTCTGGCTGGTGGGGCAGCACTGTGAAGAGCTCCATGGTCTGTGCTGGAGGTGCCAGCGACTCTGGTTGTCAGGTGAGCCACCTGTTGAACTCCCTCTTTTCAAAAAAAGTGGACAATCATAAGGTCCATAATGATGTGTGGAGTTACATAAAAGTACTGACACCAACAGATGGTGATACAGAAATAATTAACTGACTTTTTTGTCAGCTTACACCCACAAACTTTAGTGTATGACATTTTGATGCTATGTCACAGGTCAACACAAAACAGTGCATGATTGTGAGATAGAAAATAACTAACAGATGGTTTTGCACATTCTCTCCATTTTTTAATGACTTGAACTGAGCTCTGTGGGCATGCTGTTTTTTTTTAACAATCATTCCATGTTTTAAACTTATTACTCATTCCTTTAATTTTGCTGTTATAATAAAACAAAACATGAAAGTTCAAGAGGCAGGAATACTTTTCCAAGGGTGCAATAAAAGAAATCAAAATAAAGTCAGTGACATCCAGTTTTCATGACTAATTTTTTAAAATATAATTTTACTTATGCAGGGTGACTCTGGTGGACCCCTGAATTGCAGTGTCAACGGCCAGTGGGTGGTCCACGGAGTGACCAGCTTTGTGTCTTCCCTTGGCTGTAACACCTACCAGAAACCCACCGTCTTTACCCGTGCTTCTGCTTACATCAGCTGGATGAACAGCGTTAGTATTTGATAACTCAAGAATTACATAGATTGTAATGATTGATGTTTGAACATTGCAACTGATAATTTTATTTGCTTTTGCAGATCATGGGTTAAGAAGAAAAGCAATATCTGTGGAAAAAAGAACATTCTGGATTCTTTTCTCACTCCATCAAAATAAAGTCATGAAAATGGCATCTAAATTGCTTTGTCATGTTTGGTCAAAGTTTTATGATAAAAAATAAATTAATAATCTGATTCCTGATTGAAAGAAAAGAAAATCAGAGACATAGCTAATTAATTAAAGATTTAAACATTTCAGGGGAATCATTTTATTTTGAGGTCAATCTGTGAAAGGATTTAGCAGTGAACTAAAATCTCAGTAAAACCTTAATGTTAAGTTAATTTCAGACCTCTAATAGTACAAATGACAAGCACAAAAAAGCTAAACAAAAAAAAAACAAAACAAGAGAGACATGATAAATTAGCAAATAATATGCTGATAAAATGCATTTCATCTGCAAAAATTTGTTACGGAATTGGATACAGTTACAGAATATTCAGCAAATACTGACTCTAAGGTTAACTTGTTTCCTAGAGATGACACACTTCCAGACCCCAATTATTTCTGTTTGTCAGCCTTACTTTTTCCCCCCCCAGTTATTCTGGCTTCTCTAAATTCCTCTCACATTTTACTGATTAGTCATTAAATTCACTACTTATTTTAATCTTCAAAATTCCTATAATCTTAGAAGTGCTTAGCTTTTTATTCAGAAGCATGCTGCTCAGGCCAAAAATGATAGAAAGTAAATACATTAATCAGTCCAGATTTTTGGATGCTGTTGTGTAGTCTGCTCAGCAGGCTGGCTATGCACTTTCTTTTAACTTTCAGGACCTGTTGTTCACAAGAGGTTTCTTTTCATGCAAATAAAGTCCTGATCATTTTTTTTTAAGTTTAGTCTCATGCTACCACAGCGCCACCCGGTAACTGAAAACTGAGCCACGAGTGGTGTATAGACAAACTGCTAAGGAACTGTTATAAATTAAAACACTTCAAAAACATCTCTTTATTAATGAGATTTACAACAGAGTATTACTAAGCACATTTTCCATTGTTTTATTATGTATTCAAACTTTCAAGATTAAACAAAATACAAATTTTGCAATTCTGTATTGTAAACACACAGAATTTTTGCAAATACCTGTGGTTTTGTTTTAAGTTTGCATGTGTGCATGTAGTTACAAAGGCCAGAAGTATTTGTGAATAAGCCCCTGTGAACATCAAAGGCTAATGAAAATCCCATACAAAGGAATGGCTGTTCTGGATTGTGTTGAAAAATGACTAATTATTCTTTGATACTTATATTCATGATCCAACAGGCCATGTAAGGAAAATATAATTGCAAAATACAGAGATTAAAGCCTGTAAAAGCACTTTATTAACACATGTTTACAAATCATACAGAAAGTTTTAGCTTTAAATAGATATCTAAGCAAAAACATTGTGGTTGATGCAGAATTGCAGCAGTTTTAATTTGACATTGTCCTTAAATATTTTACTTGACACATTTTGACAAATTATAAATATAATAGCTTAAACCCTTGAAATATTTGTTACAGTATGCATAGTTCAATTACATTCATTTCGTCAGGATGTTTTGATTTGGTTCTTAGTTCATGTTTAACAATGAGCTTCCACAAGTTCACATAGGTTTCATAAATGTGCTGTCACGCTACCATTCTGTTTTATAGCTATCACACCATGCCTTCGATTGTATCCAGTTTTCGGGGATGTTCAGCCTCACCATGTTGCATTTCCTGCTGTTTCCAGTCTTGCTGATATTCTCTTAGCATCTTCACAACTTCTTCATGTCCAAATTGCATGGCATCATCAACTGGAAGATTCCCCCACCTGCAGTGAAATTTAACTAATTATCTTGGAGAATGTTGCCAGTTCAGATATAGACAGCATGTTCAAATGTTTAATAGACACTATGACATTAAGAATGAGGCAAAAGAAGAAGTAATTGTTCAAACCTGTCCTGAACAAATGGATCAACTTTGCAGGTATCAATGAGGAACTTTACAACATCTATGTGACCTGAGAACAAAAAGGTAGAAATAATTACATTTTCAGATTTCGGCCCACCAAGTCATTTTTCAAAAGTTCAGAATGGGCTTTATTTATTTGAGAAAAAAATAATAATTTTCCATACATTTTCTATTATATTTAAAAGGATGATGAGACTATATATAAAAGCACAAAGAAGTAGGCACAGTGAATCCAGAAAGTATTCACAATGACTCAGGTTTTTATTTTTTATTTTTACATATTTTTTCTTTATTTCTAGTGTTTTGATTATCATAGTTTACAGAAAACTTCAAATTTAATATCTTTGAGAATTTTGAGTATTTCATAATACTCAAAAAGGTATTTTAAACAGAAATGTCAGACTTCTGGAAAAAAAAAATGTCTATGGAATGAATACTTGGCTGGGCACTGGCAAAGACAGATAGGTTGATGGATACCAGACAGCTGAACATTTCAGTTCCAAAAATAACTAATGAGATGAGAGGTGATGGAGGAGCTCACCCTCTGCTGCAGCAATGTGTAGCGCTGTTCTAGAGTCGTAGTCTTTCAGACCCATGTCCACAGTTGAAAGGGCAAATCTGAAACATAAGTCATTTTGACTGTTCACTCGTTGTTTTTGATTACCAATAAATATTAAGAACAATTTAAGGGAATATAAACATGAGAATAAATGTTTGATCTACAACATTGTTGGGTTATTATGAATATCAGAAGAAAAATTGTTCTGGATCACTCCAATACAAAAAGTGTATTCACAGGTTTCTCCTGCAGGGGGAGAGGTTATTTTTTACTACATTGTTGTATTATCCTGTAAAGATTTCCATGCACACCAAAGCACAAAATAATAAAATGTACTAAATTGTTCATTTTATATTAAGTATGTTTCAGATTGTTTATGTTTCTAATAGCACCTATGATGAAGTTAATCAAGAAGTCTTAGAAATAAGTTCAACAGTAAGCAAACTCTTGAAAAAACATTTATCTAAATGTAATTTATTGGCCAAACAGCTATTGTGCAACAGTTACACAACTCTGCACTCACTGCCCACTTTATTGTGTACTCTTGTAAAAAACAAATGATATACTTAGACATACACTTTGTGTCTAAGTATAATAAAAAAATATTTATCCCCTTTACTGTTTGTCATAATAAGCACTAAAATAAATATGAAACTACAACTGGTGGAAATTATGCTACGTAACAATTCATGCTCCTAACTTTAAACAGAGTTCCTTCTTGATTCAATTTGTTACTTAAATTGTTGTGTTATTATTCAGACCAGATGTAAAGAAACAGGACAAATAAAAGCCAAAGCTTTGGGTACCTTCTCAGTGCTGACACATCCCCACTGAAGGCAGCAAACATCAAGTTGAAAACAGACTTGTTCTGAAAATACATTAAAGTTGCATGAGCATAAAGTGATGTATCTACACAGAAATTACACACAGAGCAAAAGCAGCGTACCCTGTCGTCTCCATCCTGCCGGCGGGGGTCTTGCTTCTTTACAAAGTGCCTCAGGTTGTCGTAATTGTGGAAATTGAATTGTGAAACCAGCTCCTACAGATGCAGAACAGAACAGCATTTTATTTTATAATCTTCAGGTTTAAGAGCTTGAGATACTCCTATATTATTCATTTTAGCCTTTGTGACAAATTTATGATAAACGATAAAGAAAGTCTTCAGTTATGGTCCCCTACATAATCTCAGAGGTACAAGATTATGCCCCTTGACTATTTATGTCTTATCAATTCAACCTTCAGCCAAAGTGTGCCTACAAAGTGATAGCATATCTTAAAATTGCTCAAAATAAACATTGAGTAATATTCTGTCAAAAAAATGGTTTACTCTGCAATTATTCTAAGCCCAGGCAGAAATGAGGAAGATCATAGTTTGACAATGACGTAAGACTTTTGCACAAGAAGGTCAATGTAGATTTTGCACATGCAAACTCAGCATCAAAAAATGTTGACCTTCTTGGCACAAACTAATACTAATACCTAATACTTAATACTAACACTTAATCTGCCAAACAACCACATTCATACCCATCCATTCGAGAATAACATAACAATTACATTGTTCAGCACATACACAAGCCTGGTTGACACTGCTAATAGGACATTCCTCCTATTATTGGTTGAAGCAGTGTATTTCTGCAGATAGCAACAAGACCACAGGGAAGAAGCAGAGGAGCTTTTATGTCTTATATTAAACAAATATTGTTGTATTTGCCTGACAGAAGTGTATTCCCCGAACACTGTTCCCAACTCTGTCCAAAGGTGGGGACCAGCACATCACTCCCATTACATTAGGGATCACCAGCAGTATTGCACCAGACACTCCGGATTTCGCTGGCAAGCCCACCTGGAAGAGGAGATCATGAATGGTTCAGCTGAACAGCAATACATACTTTTAGCTGGTCTGTGTCAAGTCATACTAACTTGAAAAGCCATCTGGCCAGAGAAGTCATACATCCCACAGGAGTGCATGAGGCTCAACGTGTTTCTCACCGCCTCTGCACTCAAGACTCGCTCGCCTGTGATTGGACAGATCCCTCCATTAGCCAGAGTAGCAGCCATGACACTTCCTGATTCACAGGACACCTCAATGGAACAAAGCTAGAGGGAAAAGAGTCCCCCAAGACACAAATGATTCAACCTAAATAATTTCTATTTCAGTTCAACTCAATCTTAAATCACAGAGGAAGACGCACCGCCTTTTTGATGAAGACAAAGAGTCTTACCTGGAAGTAAAAATCAAGGGCATCAATCATATCAGCTCCTGGAGGAAAACACTGGTGAATAAAACATAAAAATCAGAGCTTGACATTACATTTCTACAAAGTTTGTATAAATTGAAAGAAAAATATCACCAAAACAAAGGCAGAAGAAAATGCGCTCAATGTGTTTTAGCAGACCTTCTTCTCTTTCATGTAGTAACCAATGGCAAAATTTCTGTCACCAGTTTCCTTTTCTGATTGAAACCTGAGAACGACAAGCTGCAGGGGTTAATAATGGGTTATCAAGAATGTATTTAAGAACTGAAAACATAATGTGTGTAACAGAAAAACTATTTGAGCATGTATACAAAGAGTCAAAACGTTTGGGTATGATGAACTCACGTGGCATTGCTAAATCCAACATATTCTTGGCCGGCCATCTTTTTCACAAACTCCATAACCTGGGAATCAAAAAATATGATAATTTCTTCACATTAATACAACTATGAAAAAATTAATATTTGTGCCATAATTTTAAAATGATGGTTTCATAAGAAAGAGATATTCAAGGCACATTACTTACATAATCAAACTTTTCTGCCTTATTTGAGAGAGGCTGGAAATGAAGAAAAACTTTGATTGGAACAGTCAGTTTATTTATGACCTGCTACACATACATCACGAGCAGCTTCATGAATATATTAGTAATGGCATAATGTACTTCACTGCTAACAGTTGCAATAAAGTGCAATAAAGGACACATCGACAGTAATAGCTCAACTTTGGGTAATAGTTCAAACAGATATGGAGTTAGAAAAACTGCTCCATTTTAGATTTTCTGTTTTAAATATGTAAAATTAATCTTTAAGACATCAACGAGAATCATCTATATTCAGATAGTGTATTTAGAAATTTATTTTAAGAATCTCACTGCAGCTGACTCAACAATCTGCCAGGTATAAGCGTCGCTCTTTGCTATTGTTCAAATGTGTCCAGAGCAAATTTAATGTTTTCCAGATATTCATTTGAGATATTCATTTGAAAGACCAGCAACAATAATTTAAATAACCATTGCTGTTTTTGTATCTCTAAAGCAGCAATAACACCTACTTTCTATGCTTCTGTAACTGATTTTTACTAGAAACAATTTCGTTTGTTGTTTGCACATGACCTAAATGCGACTATTAAAGTCAACCTGTTCACCTTGATGAGAGAGCTGATCAAAATGGCTCCAGCATTCACCATGGGGTTGTGAGGCTGATCTAGATGAGAGTATAAATGAGATAAACACAAAGTTAAATAAGAGTTCTGAACAACAACTGGAAAAATATGAATGAATTAATGCTTAAATTTAAACCATGTGCATGTATAGCATTGTCATACACTGACAGAGTGATGAAGATTTTAGAAGTGAAACAAGGTGGTGATGACCTGTTATGCATACCTTCCTCATCAAGAGAAAGAACATTGAACTTGAGTCCACTGGGCTCCATGCCGACATAGTTGTGAACCTTCTCTGTTCCAGATTCATGGACAGCGATGGCATACTGCAAGGGCTTCACACATGACTGCAGACAGAAGGGCTGCTTTGTGTCACCAACAGAGTGCCTAAAGAAAGAATATGGAAAACGCTCTCAAATATAATTGATATAGTTATTATAGATAAAAAATATTTAATTAGCTAACTGGGGGCATTTTTAAAGCTTTTTCTGGGGTTTTTGATTGCATTAGACCTCTGACGACTTGTGTGCTCATGGTGCTTTGGTATGCACCATGAAATATCTTTTCAGATATTTCTATTGCCTTTAATAATATGTTTGCTCAACACCTCAATTCTGGGCATATAAATATTCAACATGTACCTTACTCTAAATAATATTCAGTAATAAGTCTAGTTTAAGTTCTGAATGGTCAGAAAAAGTAAATGTAAATCCTACCTCTGTCCATCAACTGTACATAAAGAAACACCCCATAATTCTGGACTGAACTTAGCCAGCTGAGGAATGTAGTCAGCAACCTGAAGCCACAGTTTAAAAACAGAAAAGCAGAATATGGTAATGAAAGATGTAGCAGCTTTTAAATGTAAAAATCCCAGTTGACAAATTTTAAGAAAGTGGAGATAAACATGTTAAGTTTTGAATTTGAGATTTCAAACATCAACACTTTTGTCAGATTTTGATGAAATAAAAAGTCAAGCAAAATAAAATTACCTTTCCATCACTTTGTTCTTGAACTGTCTTGTAGATTTCATTGATTTTCTCTGCAAACACATCAAACTCAGGGATGATGAATTTTTTTCGGAAGGCCTGGATCAGCAGAACGATGTTGCCACCAACACATCTGAAAATGAAACATAACAAAGACAATAATGGCTAAAATTTATATTCACTTCAATATTATATTTTCTAAATATGACAAGGCATAACATACAGAACATAAAACAAGCATTGAACATTATGGCAATCTCTTGTTTGGTTAATTTAATATTTTTGCAGAACAAACTAAAACAAACAATTTCAGCCTGGTGCAGGGTGGCATATCATTTTGCAAATGGACAAACAAATGCACCTCGGAGAGATAAGACAAAGAATGAGAGGTGCAGATAACATATTAGATCACATGGCATACATTTATTAATGGTACATTTCTCATTAAATTTTGGGGTAGTTGAAAATACAACAGGAGAAGTTAGCAGAAGTAATTATGCAGCATTACACAGACCATAAACCTTGTATTAAAATGGAATATTGGATTATTGTTTGAAGGTCAGACCAATAATAGCTTGGACGCATGGTTTCAGAAGCCTGGTGATGATTGGAAACAAAACACCATGAGGCTCTTAGTGCTGTGATAAAGATACAATTGTGAAGGGCTGTAGAGGATCCTGCATCTATTTTGATGCTTTAAAAGATTGTAGGAATTTAAATTGAGGCCCAGCAAAAACTGGGTGGAGACCTTGTATTTAAAAGTTGGCCTGAGGTCCCAACTCTCATCAGAGCAAATGGAGATACGACATGTAGTGTGGCAAGACTAATGCCTTAAAAATACAACAGTACTGGAATTGTGCTGACGAAGCCTGCTGACAGATTTCAAAAACAATGTTAAGAAAACTTCTCAATTGGTGCAAAACTTCTCAATTGGTGCACCCTATTTAGCACAATCTGGGAATGTATCTATCTAATTCTGCTTTCAGTTTTGAGATGAAAATTCTGTAGAATATTAAATGCTAATACCATCTCACCTGTGGAAAAGGTCTCTATCCATCATCACCTCACCAACAGAGTCCGTCTCAGCCTGCTGAAGCTTCTCCATGCACTCTCTGAGCCGAGGGTCTGAGGGCTGAAGGCCAGTTTTTTTCAGGGCCTGAAAACATAAAATCAGCCTCATCATCTCTCCAGATGTAATGTAAAACCCATATGATGATATTTGTGGAATAAATTTTACCTGTTTCTAAAGGGCATAGGGAATCAATGGATGCTTAAAATGAAGAAAATAGAAGCTATATTTACAGCGTTAAAGTATGAAATGGGCACTTGGTCTCTTCCTTCGGTGATGGTGTAGAAAAGCATGTTTTCCACTCCAGAACTGGGAGATGTGGAATGCATGTTCCTGAAATGAAAAGTAAAGACTATAAGACAAAATATTAATATTGTCATATTTTCATTACTCGGAATAGAATAACCTTCAGTCCTTTACAATCATATTATTACAATAAAATTAGGAAATATTTTGTGCTTTGTGATAAATACAAATGACAAAGATATCATTTATATACCTGACATCTCCAGTATTAAATAGTCATGTTTTTTTCTCCCTTTTTGGACTAAAATTAATAACATAAAATCCTGAGAGCCGCGTTTATCCAAATATTCCTAAATATAACTTAGTTATATAACTTACTTTCGGATGAGACGTTCTGTGTCATTTTAAGATTCTTTTCTATTCAGATATTGATAAATTGTATTTGCTATGACAAATGAACTTGCCTTCAACTCACTGTCAGGTTATTTATCAACTGATAAAAAGTTTATATATAACCAACAAGTACCAAACAGGGGTACTTACATTTTATTATAGGAATGATCCGCGTGGGTGTAAGTTCGTCGCTGAAATGTAGTTGTTGAATTTCTGACCAAACATACTGGATGTATGGAGAGAAAATTCCTCATCGTATTTGTATTTTTGGAAATAACTTGCAGAAGTTCTGACAGTCGCAGCGCGTTGAGGCAGTGCATGGTTAAACGACAGCGACAAACGTGGAGTTGATAAGAGGAGTCGGGTTGGCTGAGAATGCTCCGTCTGTAAAGCTCCAGCTGATATGTCAAAGTTCAGGAGAGCAAACGCTGTGCTGCTTTCAGGTTGTGTCAGGAATTTTCCAAGACTGGCATTTGGCAGTTAATTTTTCAGGATGTAGGTTACAAACAAATCATCTGGTATTTATCACACACCTAGTTATATTTGTTTGAGCTTGTAGCTGAACAGAAATATAAACCTGTAAATAAAAATGATGGAACTAGTCGAGTAATTATCTAAATTTATTGTGAGATTTATCACATTACTTTGTGTTGGTTTGTCATAGTGAAATATCATATGCAGGCTAAGGCATAAATTAGGCAACTTTTCAGTTAGAAACATTTAGATTTTTATCTCGTTCTTGATGATGTTCCTGAAAAAGATAAAACATCACAAGTAATCATAAATGGGATTTTAGTGGAGCTCAATAAAAAATAATTCCTAATTGAATTTGGCTTTGTTGTTATTTCATTAATGGGTGTCTGTGAACAAAGTATTTAGTAGTATTAATGTAGCATTTAGAGATTTGACACAAGTTTCATTTAGCTGTTTTGTTTGCCAAATACACTTGTTGAAGTGACTTGATCTTAAAATTAAGAAATTGGTTTGTTTCATAATTATGTACAAGTTGAGAACAGTGTTGGGAATCAGGGTTTTGGTTTCTTTGTGGGATTTTTCTGTTTGCCTCCTGTTTCTCCCCTTCATCCACTAGATCAAGGGTGCCCAAAGTCGGTCCTCTAGGGCCTTCAAAGACACCCACAAAGAGACCATACCCTAGAAACCACTGTATTTCCCCCTGGCTGAAGTTTTTCTTCATATCAATTAAGGTCAGTCAAATTCTTCCTGAAGCTCCAATTTCCGACAACCTCCAAACTCACCATCTCTTTTCCACTGCTTTTCAGACAACCCTGGTTGCCAACCTCAAGGACAAGAATCACACAATCTCACTGTTTTCATCATTGTTAAAATAAACTTTATTTATCTGACCATTTGTTCTCCTGGAGGTATTCTGTATGTGGGTAAAGAAACTGGAACCCAACATGACAACCAGGGCCTCTTTAAATTTTAACCAGGTTTGGCAGCCATCACAACAATGCAGATTATTGTAACACAGTATGCAGACAGTGTTTATTATTGATATGATGGGTTACTGATTCAAAGCTGAGCTTGTTTTTAATATTTCTCTGGGGTTAATATAACTTTATTCAGGCTGTGATCACTCAACGTACCGGTGCCCATGCCTGCAAAATAACAAATTTCACAGAAATAACCCCAAACAAACAAACAAACAAAAACAAAATAAAGCAATAAGTACTATTTTCTCTTTGCAATAGGGTTAGACCAGTCTTAATTGACAAATTTCACAAATATACAAACTTATATGGATATACTACTGTACAGTAAAATATACACAAAATGCATACAAGCATAATCTGATTATTAAATGGTCAGTGTCTATTATGGACAGCAGGGTCTACTGCATCAGACACAATAACATAATGAAGCTAAAAATTCTGAAGGCATTCTTCAAGAATTGATGAGTTACACACTCTTGGAAGGACGAGGGAGCACCAGCTTCAGTCCAATATCAACCACACAGGAAGGCATGTAAGAGAGAGGGATCCAGAGAAGCTTAGCATCCCAGCCGGCGCTGTACCGAGTGCGTGGGTGAGCTGCAGTCAGAGCGTGCTCCATGCAGCTGGTCACCTTGGTGAGGTCTGAGTCACACACGGCATGCATGATCAAACGCTGGATCTTGATGTCTGGAAACAAGAAACGCTAAAATGAAGGATAACTTTTCCCTTTTTCATTACTAGTGTTGCCCCAAACACTGTGCCGCTCCAGGCATCCACAAAACGGCCACTGAACAGACACATACGGTTTTAGCACACATTGCCAAAGACAGCTCAACGCATAAAGCTTCCTTCCTCTGTAAGTCTGTTTATACTTACAGTTATCCAGGTACTTCTCTCCATAGCTTGCTTTCACTTCGGGGCTGAGCTGATTCCAGAGACGGTGCAGTTCCCTCTCAATGGGATCAAGATTGGTGACTGCTGTCTTGAAAAACCCTGGCTCAATGATACACACTTTGATTCCAAAGTAGTTTATATCTCTCCTGAAAATGGAAACCATACAGAAGCATGTAATGCAGTTTTACATGCTTCAAGTTCATTTAAAAGTTTGTAAATTACCCTTCCCTCTTTATACCATTGAACTTTTAGTTTGATCATGCTTTGATCATGATTAATCAATAGGAATTGACAGATCATTTCAACTCTTTTCTAACACTTACATTTTTCATAGCATAAAATGCATCACTGCATGCATAAAATGATTTACTGTAATCAGTCTATAGGTTGTACATTCGCAAGAGCTAATAGCACAAGCCAAAAACATAAGAGGGTTAGGTAAGGCTTGTCAATTCAAAATGGTCTTCTCTCAAGTTACATAAAAAAATTTATTATATAAATACAACTGTAAAAATTAACATTTTCTATTATGTAAAAATTGATAGACTTTATAACCATCAATGCTCTCATTAAATAAGTGTTCACATCTCTGCTGTTATTTGCACATACGACCTTTCATTAATGGGTGTCTGTGCAAATACTCTGTTGCTGTTTTACATGCACAAATGCAGTCATCTTGTTCGTTTTTATTGCTCTACTCAGTCATAGATTTCCTTGAATTTGACTGTGCTATTTTTAATAACTGCACAGCATTATAATTTATCATATGTTGCAAATTCACCCTTAATGTCTCTTATTCTTCTTTTTCTATTGTTGTAATTTTTTTTTACCTCACTTTGAATAACAATACTTCCCTTTACTTTTGACTTGCTGCTGAATTTGAATTTTCCCATTGTGGGAAAATAAAGGATGATTTTTTTTTCTACTCTATTATCGGTTTTACCTCAGGCAGTCAGAGAAACTCTCCACTGCAAACTTGGAGATGCAGTATCCACCACCATTTGCAGCCACCCTGCCGAGGACAGATGCCACATTTACAATACGTCCACGGGCCTTTTTAATGAGGGGCAGGAAGGTCATAGTCATGGCAATGACTCCATTCATGTTCACTTTCAGTGTGCTGTGGAAATCCTCCACTCGCATCCACTCTGAAGGACCCATGGGTAAGGAACGTCCAGCATTGTTCACAATACCCCAAAGTCCTACAAAGAAAACAAAATTGAAAAGTTACAATTTCAAAACTGATTTCTCATATATTTATTGTGTGATTTAATCTCACCTCTATCGCCAACCTCCTTCTTGGTCCACTCCATAGCTGCCTGGATGCTGCTCTGACTGGTCACATCCAGCAGGACTGTCTTAAGATGAGGCCCTGTCACTCTTTTCAGATCATCAGCTCCCTTCTCTGTGAGACAGCCAGCCAGAACTCGAAAACCTCTACGGTCGAGCTTCTTGCACAGAAGGTTGCCAAACCCCGTGTCACAACCAGTCACGAAGACATACTTGTCAGAAAGGTTCTCTATCTCCAGGCTGTCTCTGTACAGCCACACCAGAATCCACAACAAAGCAAAGGAAGCTGCAATGTAGTACAAGGCATTTTCTCTACAAAAGAAAAAAAAAAAAAAAGAAGACATAACATCATGAAATTATGTCTCAATCTGTAATTTGCTCTTAGAACTAAAACTAGAACTAGAACCAAATCTAAACCGTAAAAAAAAATGTCTTGTGTTTTAATTTCTTACCCTAAAATTTCGTATATATACTGTGTATTCATGTTGCCTTCAGGAGTTTGTTTTTGGCCTCGAAACTGGTCAAAAAACATTCTGCAAAAATGTTTCAAAGGTAATTAAAGCATAAATACAATGAGAAGCATTTGAAATTCAATTTAACAGTAGCCTTATAGGATTGGATTGTAGTGGGACATTCTTGACAGCCAGTAAAAACAAGCAGCATATTTACTAAGACCTGTTTTTAGTGCAGGGCTGTTGCGGTTGGTGTGAGCACATGAGGAATCTTTGGATAATACTCTTACAGAAGAAAGAAAGGAATTTGTAATGGAGCGAGACAGAAGCAGGGGATTATTTTATTTTTAGGTATAATTTCAGTCTCTGTGATGGAGCTGCTTGGCTTATGGCAAAAAAGCCAATTAATTTTCAGGCTTATCACTTAATAATACAACAAAAAAACTTCTGTAGCTATCAAATTTACCATAGCAATTAAATACTGAATAAATACAATGACCACAAATTCAGAGTAAGGAAATGTAACAACTGGTTATAATTGCCTATAAAATATTGTGTTTTAATTACTATTAATGCAATTCATTCATTTCAGAAGTGTTATTATTATTATAATGACGATTATTATTATTATTATTCATTTCAGTTTTAGGAAATTATGTTATTGTCAACATATCCAAGAATTTAAATCAAATTTAAGCTGTTTTTATGGGTGTTATTTCAAACAACTCTAACCTCTTACGTTATTTTTCAGTATTTACTGAACATTATTTAGAGGTTTTTCAAGGTAGTTAAAAACAAACAAACAAACAAAAAACCTCTTTCTGGCCATCTAAAGTTCTATTCTATTCTGTTCTATTCTGTTTTCGATATCATACATTCAATGCACTTTGTGAACTTGAAATAACAAGCATTTAATAATTCACTGCATTAATTCAGATTTGAGAGAATAAAAATAATGACAAAACTCTTAACCTACCTTATTCTCTTATTGGTCAATGACGGCTCTCCACAGTCAGCCCCCTTCCCTTTCCCTTTCTGTATATTCTTCTGATTCAGCTCAGAGGGGCTAGTCAAAGAGAAGCTTTATCCTTGAGGCTTATCCGTTAAGACGTGTTCACTATTAGTAATCCTCAATCCGTAACTATTGCAATTGTTTTGAGGAAAATTGTGAGGGGAACAGGGCAGAAAAACTAAGCCCCAAAGATTTTTTTTTTGCATGAACACCAAAGTATCAGAACAGTATTTTTTTTCGTTTAGAACATAAAACTTAGAACTTAGTTGTTCTCACACTTGGGTTTAAAAGTTTTAGGATTATGTAAAAAGTTCTGATGAATCCACTAGTCACAGTATTTAGTTTCAGGAGATCATTCAGTTCACTCACTTTAGAAACAGTCAAATGTATACTGAATAGCTTGAAATGATTGGTGTTTCTAACATAAAAGACTAAGAAAACATTCACAAATATGCTACAATGCAAATCCATTTAATAAGAGAAAAAAAATCTACAATAGCCTGGTTGTGTAACTCTGCATGCTTTCGGACTAATACCATGTAAATGCCCTTTTGATTCAAAAACATTACTCAATATTCTTTAGGTATTAACGTTGTGTCGGAAGTGAGGACATCTTATGTTCACAGCCTTCTTGAGGTGACCTGGATGTATTTTTCCACTCACTGTGATGCTGAAAAATAAAATCAGCATCAAATGTGAAGATGTCTTTTTCACCGTTAAAGAAAACATCTGAAGGTTTTGGGCCAAACGATGACTGTAATTTAGAACTATTCATGGCCTTCTTCAGTTTGACAAAAACAGTTCAATTTCTAGAAACACCAAATCATGATGCTACCACTATGTCTTCCTTTGGTGTGTTCTTTTTCTTTAGAGATCTGTGGGGTTTTGATGCCAAAAACAACTTCTGGTATTGATGCCCAAAAACATAATGTTCATCAGACCATTACACATTCACAAGACAAACTGGGAACATTTATTCAAGGTCTACATGCTTTTTGGGTAGAAAAAAATCTTCTGTCTTGCCAACTCAGGCTAATACTGTAGATTATTGTCAGCAATAGAAGAAAACTAGCAGGAACAATAAATCATGCAGTACCTTGCTGTCTTCTAGCCAGCCTCCCTAATTTATGCTTGAAAAAACATGCAGCTTTCTTAATTTGAAAAAAAAAAAAATAATAAAAATCTTTATTCTTTGTAACATTTCTGAAAATTGTGGCTTTAGCAAAATGATAGAAATGAGCAAATTTGGAAGACCAGGGTTCAACTATAACAGATTTGTTTTCTTTTGAATTGATTTAAACAGCATATGTCACATTAAATGTTTTAGATAATTTTTTGTTCTTATTTATTTTTTCTTTTTCATAAAAAAGGGTGGTTATTCAATTTTATTGGGTGAGTGGTCCCAAAATTATGAAACAACAAACTAAGAAGTTGAACTATGAGCGTGGTAAATAATTATTTCCTAACTATTTCAGTGTCTGGAAAAACTTAGTTTATATCTACTTCTACATTTATAATATCCAAATCTGGACTTTATGTAGATTCCAAACATCACTGTTTGTGAAGGATATTTTTTTTTTTGTTTCTAAAAAAATTAAACAATGACTTGCTTGGCAGATGAACAAAACCTTACAGTTTGCTTAGTGAAAAAGATATAGAACTGTAAAATAAAAACAAAGGCATGAAGGCTCATACTTGAGTGCAGGATTAAAAGTCTTAATTAGTTTCCAAATAGTGTTGTAACTACGTGAGTGTACACTGAACCCGGTTGTTCTAGGACATAACTTTTACGTCACACATTCCACTGATTATCCAGTCCTTGTAGATTGTGGTTCCCATGAGTTTCTGTTACAAAACTTTGTAGAGAAACATCTAGGCTATTTCCAGTGTTTCACTTTTGTAACACACCCATAAACATCAGGTAGGAGATTAAATACTTCCCAACTCTTCCCACCATTTAGATTTATTCTTTTCATTTTTCCTTCATGTACTTCTTGTTGTCAAGAGAGAAGAATGAAAACACAACTTCAGCTATTATTGTTTGTTTTATTGTTATTTACGATAACTGTCCATTTATTATAACTTGTCTAATGAAAATAAAAATTAAAAATAAATTTTGTCAAGCTACACATTTGAAAATTACCTTTGCAACAACTGAAATTCAATCTTCACTTATATCAGATGTGCATACAGGAGAGATGAGGTGCACATGTAAATATGTCATTAGTTCTTTTAAAGAGATATTTTAAAGAATAACTTACCAGAAGTTCTGCCTATTAAATACTTTCATGTTCTATCCCTCCCAAAAAACTTTGTCTTTCCAGTTTTCAAGCTAAAAACAAAGCTTCCCCAGTGAAACGCATCTGAACTACATCATCCAATACAACAGACAAATATTTGTCAGTAAAATATCAATCTCACTCCACTCAGAGGGGTGGATTCATGTGTAGCTTTAGATACAGGAACAAATGTACTGTAAAAAAATACATGCTTATGAGCAAGTAGACTGAAGCTGCCCTTTGTGAACGTACTCCAGAGCTGTGGCAATTGTTCTCATGTCCATCTCAATGCTGCGGGCCCAGTTTTCAACATCTCCAATTTCCTGTTTGAGAGGGAAGAAAGTTAAAAAGAACAAAAATGTTGCCACAAAATAAAAAGATTTGTAAGCCCTGGGGTAATTGAAAAGTTTGATATTCACCAACATGGTACTTTTTTATTAAAAAGTTGGAGAACCTTTGGCTTAGATATTCCAGTATATTTAATTTATAAGGAGCAGGCATTCAGTGTAAGGGTAAATGTGCTAATGGCAAAAATAAAAATGAAGTAAACATCTGACAGTATTAACATACTTTTAATGCTTGATTGAATCCCTCCACCATGCTGATCCATTGAGCTGTTTGCTTGGAGAATTGGTTCGCCTGCACTTGGAGTGTCTTAACTTCATGATCCAGTTTGCGTTGGTTTACATATGCTTGAGCAACACTGAGAAAAAGGGAAAAAGGGAAAAATACTGAGCTTACTAGCTTTGTGCCCATCAGCTACCCACTGAGTCTTTGACTGGGAAATGACTCAGTGAACACTTGGCTACTTTACCTCCAACCATGTTCCAATTTTTTTTTATCTTTTTCATTACAAACTAGTGCAACAACAGCCATTAAATCCTGCTCTCGCTCTATAAGATAATTGTCTTGGTTTGTTCACATCTTTCACAATACTAAGAGCTACTTTTGTTTGAACTGTATGTGTGCTCAATCATTTCAAGTAAAAAACTGAAACTGGCTCATGAAAGATTGTCAGTACACTGTAAAAATCTAAAACGATCCTTGAATCTAAGCAAGTCGTTATTGTTTAGTAAGAGTGTTGTTTTCTGGCGAGTCAAAATTACTGACTAGCCAAAATGAGCAAACTATGAAAAAACATTTGAAATAACATGTCAATGACACATTCATTGGTCATTGAAAGGTCTTTGTTCGAGTCAAATAAATTTTTATTCTAAACATATACAGTGTCAAAAGGACAGTGATGAGTTAAGAAACCCCAATCATAGGAATGCAAAGTTGTTTAAAGCTGTAACCATCTCTGTGTTTTAATAGATGTATGAAGAAAGACATGAGGTAATTTTTCCTACCCAACGTTCAGGTGATCTACCAGAGCTTCAGTTAGACAGGTAGCAGCAGCGATCGCTTCACGTCTGCGTTTCTCTGTGAAACAAACAATAAACCATATGATCAACATTGAAATCTGTAGATTTGTTTTTAGCATGAGCTAGCATCACAGCTATCCAGCTTTCCTTACCCTGCAGCTCCTTCCGCTCATTTTGCTTCGCTTGATGCTCCTTCAGAAGGCGAGACAACATGTTGTTTGAGCAAAAGTTAGGGTTATTGTTAGCTAAAGCCAACTCATTTCACGATTGTTTTTATTGTAAGGGAAGATACGACCAAGGGATCAGAATGAGACCATGTAGCTTATCACGAGATGTCACTCTCGGATGTCTCACGTGACTGTTTCCTCATACAATTATGCGCAGTCTTAAATGTAAAGCCTCATTGTTTGTGTTTATTACATCACATTAATGAACAGTTGGTTTTTCAAGCATGCTTAAAATTAAACGGTAATTCTTATTTAGTATTATTTGTTTTAAAATATGTGTGAAATGACGACATCAGCTTCGTATCGGGATTACCTTCAAAATTAAAGCGATCGTGAATACAAGTAAGTTTTTTACTTGCATGTAAGAACGAAACAAAATAAGTTTTAGATGGTTAAAAAGAAACATAACCGGATATCTAGTTAAGTTTTCAATTAATGTACGTATAATTGGTTTGGGTTGAAGTTTTATTTATTTATTTGTTTGTGTACATTTTATTTAGGGCTGCACTATTTTATTCTGAAAGGCTTTAACCGGAAATGTGGAATTTAGCTAGTGATACAGAAGTCCCTGTTAATGGCTGATAATGTAACTGTCAACAATTCTGGGGTTGCTGAGACCGAAGCCCTTTTACCATCCATTATTCTCTGTACTTCACAGGTAAAGATATTTGGTCTGGTTTGATTTAAAAGTTGTTTACTGAACAATCGGAGTAGCTTGAAAGCCCGGATGCTGGTAGCATTTGTAACGAAAGCCAGTGCATGGTTAGCTTATCCTCGTTTCGGTCAGAACCTCGAAGCAAAGTTCCTGATGGTGATTGAACTCACTATGAAACGACCAGATCAGAAGACATTTATAATTAATCTTAAACATATCTTAAAACCATTTATTCCCTCTCAAGAATCTGTTACTGTACCATGACAGTTGACTCACGATGGAAAGCAGCTATTAAAACACTGAACTCACCAACAATAAAACGATCGGGTATTTTGTTGATGCTAAAATAATGTACTTCAATACAAAAGAAGAAATATTAGTGAAGGAAGGTTGAGTCAGACCTAATTAGTCCGACTAGTTGATGATGGGATTTTCTGTTATGGAAGAGACTAGACAACGTCTAGAAATAGACGAGATTAAACCAAGTCACCTTGTGAGGTGCATTGTGATGCATTTAAAATTAAGACGTTGAAGTCGAAAGCTACAAATGTACCTTCAGCAAACATCATAATTTTCTTGTCAATTGTATATAAACATTTTATGATTTAGGGCTTTATTTCACCAGCCTAATAAACTTGATCAAACTATAGATTAGGTGCAATCAGGGTCATATAATACCTATTAATACCTGTCGTCTCTGCTTCCAGGTTCATTTTTAAAGGCAACTTAGAATCAAATGTTATGGATGAACCATGAAGGCACAATTACAAGTCACAGGTAAGTTATTTGTTGAACAAATTTAAGAGCCACAAATAAACTTGAAGCCAGATATTAACCAACACTATGAAAGCAATAAATATTGTATTTTCTCTTTGACAATAAATCTGGCCAAAGATGTGTTGCTTTAGGTTAGTTTGGATTGTTAAAATCTATTATATGGTAAATCAGAAAATATCAAGAAATATTGTTCTTTATAATATTTGATTTAAATTCAGTAGTTTACATATATTAAAATTACTATGACTTAAGCCCTATAGGGAAAGCCCAGGTGATCACTTTGTAAGCTTTAATTCACAACATCTATGTAGCTGAACTGAGATAATAACTACTTGCTAGTATTAAACTAATCAGAGTGTGATCTTATAAGGATTCTAACATTTGTCTCAACATTATAGTACATGATGATATACCTTTGTTTCATGAGGGCCTATCGGTTGCAGTGTTGGAAAATAAGCAAATGTAAATACTATTAATAATCTAATATTGAGCAGGTATTATGACACACAATTTAGTCAATTATACATGAAAAGAATAAACATTTAACATAACAGATAGTAATAAAATTATTGTAACAGGTGTAAGGACTTGAAATAAATCTGTCAGAGGTTGGTACAGTGAATTGTTTAGTTGAATGTTTGGAACTCACATGATGATATTCATTAATAATAATAATAATAATAATAATAATAATAATAATAATAATAATAATAATAATACAATGATGTCCTCGTATGTTTTTCAATTACAACCTCTGAAGCAGTATGATCATATATACATAATTTTACTCCCAATCTCTTTATAGTTCATGGTTGTGTTCCTCTTTCCAGTGCTTTCAGCTAAGCTAAAGGAAAACAAAAAGAACTGGTTTGGTCCCAGTCCGTATGTTGAGGTAGCTGTGGATGGCCAGTCAAAAAGAACAGAAAAATGCAACAACACCCACAGTCCCAAATGGAAGCAGGCCATCACTGTGTGAGTACTGATGTTGTTTGTCTCTGTGGCAGAAGCCAGTTTTTTACTAGCCAAAATACTAGAACTCAACTTGGGAATTGTTAACACATTTCTCTCTAATATAGTTCAAATAAATAATTATTGGATTATGCATAGAATTCATTCAAAATAAGAACATATTTTAATGTTTTATGACCACATAATGTGCTTTGTAGACATGTATTTATGTAATTGTGAAAATTATGATTACTGATGTAATCATAATAGAAGTTGTGGAATTCCAGTTTTTATTTAATTCTACCTCTTATAAGTCGAAGATACAATTGTACAATTTGGGGCACATACATTTCTGAGATGAACACAAGATGTATGTAGTATGTGCCATCATAATAATAAGTAAATGTCTCTACAATCTACTTTTAAGCTATGGGTTTTATAATCCTAATTTGTAGATGCAGAAAATGTGTACTTAGATACCTTCGACTTTAGGATTTCTGTTAACAAGGATGCTCACTTATGGAACAACTTTAATCATATTATTTTGTTCAAAGTGAAATTACACATATTGCAACATGTGATAAAGTACACCCTGGAAATATCAAAATAAGGCTATAGTATTGTCATTTCTTTCATATTGCATCATTTCTGTGATAGTTGGGGCCAAAATTAAGACAATTTGATTTTTGACTCATTTATAATTAAATAGTCTTGAAAACACAATTAGAACACCTCAATCCCATAAAAAGACTTGAAGCTTATACACCAACATGTTTTCAAGTTATACTCAGTCAAGGACCTACCTGTTTGAGTTGCACTTAACATAATGGTGGTTGAATGAATGCCTCAGAGCTATAAAGTCAACCTGTTCTTCAGCACAGATTTTTACTGAATCTTATCTCTGTGCTGCATTCCTGCAGAATTGTGACTCCAGTCAGCAAACTCATCTTTCGTGTTTGGAGTCATCAGACACTGAAAGCAGATATTCTGCTGGGCATGGCCACTCTGGACATTGGTACGGTCCTCAAAGCCAATGATCTTAAATGTGAGTATACATTTGAAAATTTCTTCCACGTAACTATGCTTTTTATTTTTTTAAATCTTGTAAATATCGCACCTTTTTAAATTTTCTTCGTCAGTGAAATTATAATTTTCATATGTTTTTACACTTGTTGAGTAAAGAGTTCAAATAAATAAGATAAAATAAGTAGCTTCCCATCTATGGAGTGACATTTCTGTTACTAATCTGTGGATATTTCATCTGTTTTGCCAAGAACTGTATAGTTAAATGTTGCTGCACACTCTATGGAGGCTGTTTTCACTTTTTATAAAAAAGGGCATGCCTGTCTACTCATTATCTGTTGTGGTTTGATAACATTCTCAACCATTTTTCATATTTCTAATCTTATTCTTTTGTAAAAGTTTGGACTTAGAGGAACATTGTATGCTTTTTCTACTTTGATCTTTAAGTTGAAGTCTGAGTGTTGCTATCGTGTTGCTGTTGGAAGCATTTTCTTAGCGTTGTGATTTCTCCTAATTCCAGTGTGTGAGGTGGTGCAGACGCTGCAGCTATCCTTCGACAGAGACCCTCAGGATATTGTAGGGGACCTCTCAATCTGTCTGGACGGCATGCAGGTTGACCCAGAAGCCTTTGCTCTGGCAGAGAGAGAGCAAGGTAAGGCAAGCACAAACAAGGTCATGGCAAAAATAATGGAGAACTTCAACACTTCCTTTTTTCAATTAGAATGTCAATGCTATATTGGCTTTGAATAAATGATTAAACTGGTTTACTGTGCTTAATCAATTTAGGGGACTTTTGTCAAAGTTCAAATATCTGCATAACCTTAATTTGCCTCCAGAGAGCAGTAGAAGCATTTCATACATTCAATTGTTGAGGACAGCCTACACAAGCATTTAAAATGGTAGTTTTTAATTTGACTGCCATGTAATATATAACCAAAAAAACAAGTTTTTAAATTAAACTGTAATAGCACTATTAAACTTTTTACTGTGTTTTTGTGAATGTTTGTTAATTCTTGATTGTATGTTTATAATGTCTTTATGTTGTTTGGGTCTCCTTGTCTAGGACTACAGATGGAAGTTAGCAATTATGCTATAATCTGGCTCATTTACAGTCTATACAGTAGTGTTGATTTTTCATTAATGTGCACTGTCCTTAATAAAGATTTAAAGATTTAAACACTTTGAAAGCAAATCAGTTGAAATATTATTAATATTATGAAATAGATCATTTCATTATCAGAAATGATCTAACATAGTCATACATGATGTTACAGTTTTCTTCTTTTTTTTCCTAGCTCCTCTCACAAATGGAAATGCAAAACAAAATGGCAACACTAGCAACAGGTCTTGTGAACTTTTACTTGAAAATCCAAACCTGAGTTAATTGTTTTTTCCAGTTTTTCTCCAATAAGGTTCCAGATAATATTTCTTAAACATGTACTTTTAGATCAAGCCGGGACACGTCTCCGTCCAGTGACTCAGATGACTGGGTGATTGTACCCAATGGTCTTACTGTCAGCGATAGAGGTTCTCCCTCTCCGTCTGCAGAGGGCTCCACTTCCTCTCGTCCTCCTAGGCCCGCCAGGCCGCCGCCTCCTACGCCACGAAAACCTGCTGCCTCACCTAGTAGGAAAACACACAATTTCATATACTAAAGAGCTGCTAAAAATATGAATATCATATTTAAAGAAAGCAAATGACAGATATTCTACTTTTTGATTTATTAGTTTTTGTTGACTGACCAAGGGAGTATTAGATGCCAGTTAAAGAGATTTTTAGCAAAAATAATGAATGCCATATGCTATTCTTCCCTGTTCTTTATCATCTTTGTGTCGCAGGCTCTTCTAGTAGTTCTTCCCCCAGTGAACTGAGTGAAGCACCAGCTTCTGACGGTTCCTCTCAGGCATCTGCAAGCGGAGGTTCAGACCAGCCCGATGATGCAGGTGCTCGAGCAGCAACAGCCGTTTCCTCACAGACAGCTAGTGCTCCCAAACCAGGTGGCGCTGTAACAGCAGCTCCAGCTACAACCGCGACTGCCAGAGTCAACGCCATTAGCAACGCCCCGTTGCCACCAGGGTAAGGAGCAACTTCCTGTTTTGGTACTATATCTGTTTTGATTTTAAGTAATTTAGCTCAGTTGTATTTAATTATTTTTTTTTAATTGTACCAACGATTACTTTTTGTCAGCTAGGGTTATATAGTTATAAACTTGATACACTTTAAGATCCATAGCCCTCATTGTTCCAGGATCTTAGGTTTGTAAGATTTTTCTATTTCTTTTATTAACTGGAAATGCAACAGAATTTGTTTAATATCATTTTTTATTGTATTATAGATGGGAGCAAAGGGTAGACCAGAATGGAAGAGTGTATTATGTGGACCACATTGAGAAAAGAACAACCTGGGACAGACCTGAGCCTCTGCCTACAGGGTACCATGCTTTATGCTTTACTTATTGAATCCTGAAATATCAGAATCTGCTTTATTGGCCATATTGTGTGCAGAAACAAGGAATTTGACTTCATTGTTCAACCAAATAGCAAATCCTAAATATTTTTAGTCTCATTTAAAATGCCTGCAATCACTTGCAGCCATTTTAAATTAAACTAAAAATACTTGTAAACACCTGTATATAAATTAAAATTATTATTTTTTCTTTCTTTTTCTCCCAGCTGGGAGCGACGGGTCGACCCGATGGGTAGAGTGTACTATGTTGACCACATAACACGAACCACAACATGGCAACGGCCCACTCAGGAGTCAGTGCGCAATTATGAGGAATGGCAGAACCAGCGCAGCCAGCTTCAGGGAGCAATGCACCAGTTTAACCAGAGGTTCATTTACGGGGTGAGAACAATCACTTTAATTACTTTCACCTTCAGTTAAGGATAGGTTTCTATGACTCCATAAATTATATTAGTACAATTGCTAAATTGTGAGCCAAGCTGGATGATCTAAGTTTTTCAAAGCAGACAAGACAGTATGGACCTTTTATTATTATTATTATTATTTTATTCTCTTAAAGATGTTTGCTTACTTATCTGTTACTTGTTTGTCTACTCAGATAAGCTAAGTTTTTTTTAATATATACCAATAAGGTAAGGATTACAAATTTCAGTGAGATCAGTTTACTTATTGGTAAATCAGAATTTTACTCTTATGTTTCTATTTTATTAATAGTGACTATTAATTCATATTCTTTTTGGTTCAGCTGCAGGACCAGTTTGCAGCCACATCCACTAAAGAGTTCGACCCACTGGGACCACTGCCACACGGCTGGGGTAAATATACTTTCACAAGAGTTCACCTTAAAGAAACTGACGTTTTAGAAACATAATAAGGATCCGTTGAAGGAATGCATAGCTGTAAGTTGACATACATTTATGTACAAAAATGTTTTTGTTTTAGAGAAGAGAACAGACACCAATGGCAGAGTATATTTTGTTCATCATCCAACTCGAACGACTCAGTGGGAGGACCCGAGGACACAGGGGTAAGTACATATTGCATCGTGTTATGTCTTTGGTAACAGCTGGGTTCATTCTGAATCACTAAAAAGCAGAAACATGCCAATGTGTTGCTCAATTTATGAGGTCTACTTTGAAACTTAATAAAGGGAAACATTTTAGATCCTTCTTTTACAACTTTTAAAAAGTTGCTTTGCAATTGCATTTTAGGCAATGCAATGTTTTTTTTTATTTAAAAAAAAGGAATTTCATTATTTATTTATGGTTTTTGTGCATTTTCAATACAGCATAAAATCAACTTTAGTGGTTAAATAGAAAATCTACAGAATATTCCAAATTAATTCATCCAAAAAAATCAATTAAATGTCAGAAAATACGTGACTGTGTGAATAATTTAAGCTTCACTGTAAAGCATGCTTATTTTCTTATCTTGTGTGTTTGTGTGTTTTCTTTGCATGCGTTAGTCTTCTAAATGACAAACCCCTGCCTGAAGGATGGGAGATGAGGTTCACTGTGGACCACATTCCCTACTTTGTAGACCACAACCGGAGAACGACAACCTACATCGACCCTCGGACAGGGAAATCTTCCTTGTATGTTTGTTTTTATAACATTTAAAGTAATCCTGCTGGTAAAGGAGATCTGCCTCCAGGTCTTCCCGTTCTTGTCACAGCAAAAATGTTTGTTGTCCCACTTTTACAGCGAGAATGGGCCACAGATCACCTATGTTCGGGACTTTAAAGCCAAAGTCCAATACTTTAGATTCTGGTGTCAGGTATGTTTACAAGTCAGATTGTTAATTGATTTTTTCCTGCTTTACTATTTTTTTAATGTATATTTTATATTATTATTCAGAGATGGAAAAAAAATCTATTGGATCTGAGAACACATGTGTTTTGTGTTTGTTCTTAGCAATTATCTATGCCTCAGCATATCAAGATTACCGTCTCCAGAAAAACTTTGTTTGAGGATTCATTTCAGCAGGTAAGAGTTTGTCTTTTTGTCAAGTTTCGAGGTATTCAATTGGTCTTTTCTTGTTTGTACATGAATTACGTAAGTGGATTCATTTTCGGACTTGCTTTCAAAGATCATGAGTTTTCACCCACAAGATTTGAGGCGGAGACTGTGGATCATTTTCCCTGGAGAGGAGGGCTTGGACTATGGAGGCGTAGCCAGGTAATACCTCTGAAATGTTTAATACAGGTGCGTCTTTTTTACAGGTGTGACTAATTGGGTGTGAAAAGTCTTACTTACAAGTTTTGTTGACAACACCCAATGTTGATGTAAAGTTGTGATGTAATATAAGCTTTGATGTTTCGTTGAAATCTTAATCATTAAGAAATTATATCACTGCTTTTCATCACCTATGATTGCTAATATATTTTTGTAATTTGTGTTGATGTTTTCAGAGAATGGTTCTTCTTGCTCTCCCATGAAGTGCTAAATCCCATGTACTGTTTGTTCGAGTACGCTGGAAAGGACAACTACTGTCTTCAGATTAACCCGGCTTCTTATATCAATCCGGATCATCTTAAATACTTTAAATTCATTGGCCGCTTCATTGCCATGGTACACTTTTCTATAGGTTTTAAAATAAATTATTGGCTTAATAAATTTGAATTTGCAAGTCACTAAATGTGTATTTTGTTTCTCTATTTTTTTTCCTCAGGCCTTGTTCCATGGAAAGTTTATTGACACGGGTTTCTCGCTGCCCTTCTACAAGCGCATTTTGAACAAACCGCTGGCTCTTAAAGACTTGGAGTCCATTGACCCTGAATTTTATAATTCACTCATTTGGATCAAGTAGGTAGTTCATGTATATAGTGTGTCTGAGGTACATTTGAACATAATAATCTGGAAAACCATAGAATTTGTGTATTTTCCAGGTCTGGTAAAAGAAAATAGACTGTGAAATTATATTTATTTTTAGATTATGTTTTATTCTATTGAGCAATGATGGCGCAGGTTTTAACACCTGACCACAGTAAAAATGTCTGTTATAAATTCATAATGAGGTTTTATATTTATAGTTTAAAATTATATAAATAAGGGCTGATCACTATGAAGAACTTAGTCTGAAAAATTAAAGGATTCTGGCATAAAACTTATATGATCTTTATGCCAACCTAGATTTTCTGAAATAGTAAGTGGTCAAATAGTTTCAAAATGTAACTGTTGAATGTGAACCAAATAGCACTTTAATAATTCATTCTGGATTTTTATACAACTATTGTTATTTAATATCTCCCAAGTTTTTGATTAACCAGCACATTTTTAACATTTGTTGATTCTCATAATTAGTGAGGACAATTTGAGGTCACTACATGTTAATGTTCAGTCTATAAATTCTGATGGTGTCCAGCTTAGTTTTCTGCAGATAAGAAACTATTTAAGGTTTTTGTAACCTCTTTGAATTAGAAGCATGTTCTATTTCTGGCTGAAAAAAAAACAGCTACAACAATGGATCCATGCACTTAATACATCAACCTGGAATTCTTAGTTTAGTATGAAGTTTTCCATTTTCTCTTTATGAGTTAGAGGTTCTTCTGTACCACTGAGTTCACCCTTCACATTTTATTGATACCTGTAAAACCTTAGAGGAACTGCTACGGTTATTTAAACTGAATTGGTTAATAAAGTGGGTTTTATGTCTTGCAGGGACAATAACATAGAAGAATGCGGTCTGGAGATGTTCTTCTCTGTTGATAAGGAAATCCTGGGAGAGGTCAGCACTCATGAGCTGAAACCAGATGGAGGAAACATTCCAGTTACTGAAGACAACAAGGAGGAATACATCAGGTACAGCTGCATTTTTCCCATTTCCTATTTACTAATCATGTTTTGCTGTTACAAAAGTAAATTATGTTGGTTTTTTGGGGGTTTTTTTTAATGCAGGTTGGTGGCAGAGTGGAGGCTGTCCAGAGGAGTGGAGGAGCAGACTCAGGCATTCTTTGAGGGCTTTAATGAAGTTCTTCCTCAGCAGTACCTTCAGTACTTTGATGCAAAGGAGTTGGAGGTACAAAGCTATATGGGTGTTTTTCCCAGGCATTTTTAAAAAGTAGGATGTTTTAAATGTGCTTGTCATTCATTGCGGATTAAAATAATATTATATTTTGAAGTATTTATTGTGGTAACTGTAAAATGAACTGTAAAGCAGTTTAAAATGTGTATTTTTAGGCCTTTTTTGTGTGAATACAGTCAGATTACAACAAACACTATTGCTGCCCTAAAAATAAAACTTGCCTAATATATACTTTAGACACTTGGTACATTAGGGGGAGCAGTTACATACAATGACGGCATTTGATAAAATCTTCAATTAAATCTGTCTTTATTGATTCTGCCATAATAGAAGATAAAGTAAAGCACTATTTCCTGCAACATAAACACCAATTTGAATGTAGTCTTTTCATGGTGGTGAGGTGTTCAATGTATTCTATGTTTTGCTTTTAGGTAATGCTATGTGGAATGCAGGAGATCGACCTGGTGGACTGGCAGAGAAACACGATTTATAGACATTATGCTCGGAGCAGCAAGCAAATCCTTTGGTTCTGGCAGGTTTGTTCTGAAAATATATATTCTGTTATTGTTATATTTGTTAATGTAACAAGGAATCAAATCTTCACAGGTCTTGGGGTGGACCTAACCTTCATGCTTTTTCATTTAAAAAAATACCCAGCGACAAAAAAATCTATGAACAGTAATGTGTTGGAGCAGTTTGTAATATAATCTCTTTTCTTTTCTATAGTAAGATTAAGTCAAACTTAGCAAAGCAGAAAATGTTTTTGAAAAAAAGGTACAGTTTGAGATTTATTTTCTCAGATTGATTGTAGTTTTCAGAAAGTGGGAGGTAAGGCTGACTGGCATGTATGTAAAGTATTCACGCCAGTTTCATAATGTTTTCAGTGTTTTGGCATGTAAAGAGTAAAATATACTGTTAAAACGGCACTGGAAGTATGTGTTGTTGGAAGCGCTGCATAAATGTGCAAATCTTTATCAATTTTTCTTATCTGAATTATCTAATTGGAACAAAAATGACTTGTTTCGCAGTTTGTGAAGGAGATGGACAACGAAAAACGAATGAGACTCCTGCAGTTTGTCACCGGCACCTGCCGACTTCCTGTGGGTGGCTTTGCTGATTTGATGGGTGTGTAAAATCCATACAGATGTATAAAACAAATGTTTTTTTGCACAGTCATGAGATTTTTCTCATACAATTCTCTTGTATGTGTAAATAGGAAGCAATGGTCCACAAAAGTTTTGCATTGAGAAAGTGGGGAAAGAAAACTGGCTTCCACGAAGTCACACGTGGTGAGAATATTTTATTTATTTTGTTTTGCTCAAAATGACGTCATATCATAAATGAACGGGCACCTCAGCTTTTCTTGTCACATGCAGTAAAAGACAACAAAAAATGTCAGAAGAGTAACTTTGACTCTGTTGTTTTTTCTATTTAGCTTCAATCGTCTGGATCTCCCTCCTTATAAAAGCTATGAGCAACTGAAGGAAAAACTTATCTTTGCCATTGAGGAAACGGAAGGATTTGGGCAGGAATAATCATAACAGGAGTTCCTGATTTTCATCCCAATAACCTGTGGATGCAACAGAAAATTGCTGACCTTGAATGAGCCGGATCCATTTTAGAAAGAAGCATTTTTAGCAGTTTCTCTCTGGAGCCTGGAAATGCTTTCACCCTGGTAGATTCTGTCTGTCTCAATAGCATATTCACAAAAGATTACAAAATTGTTTCATAATAGGTTCATTATTTAACAAGGGATCTGTGAGTCTTCTACCTTGATGATCTGTTCCTCCCTGATCCACTTAATCTCCCTTTGCTGCACAAAAAGACTAAAAAAAGAAACGCCTTTCTCACTCTGGCATGCCTGCACTTGCTGTATGTTGAGTAAGCGCAGTTTCTACATATGGAGCACAGATTCTGCACCATAGTCATTTCTTTAGAACCACTTTGTTGAGCCTATGCACTCTGATAATGTACGAGGAAAGAAACTTGTCTGTACATTTTGACTCATAATATGAAGATTAATTTCCTGACAGATAAAACAGTCCCTTTTGATTCGAGGTCATTGAGGTTTTGTTTTCTTTCTTTTGATGGAAAGTGGGATGAATGAATATTTTTCTAATAGGTGACTGATATGAATCCTGTAGCACATATACAGTTTTTTATTAACTTTGCTAAATGTGATGACTTTAATTGCAATAATACTTTCTTGTGTTGTGACAGGTTAATATGTTCAACTAGTTTGCACATGTATTTGTGAGCAGTGAGATTATGATTGCTATTAGAAGATGCTATTTTTAAGTGCAATAGTTTTGTAGAACACATAATTTCGCCAATGTCGCATTCAAACAGGGCTTTGATTAGTTTTTCTAAGATTTAGTTTTTACCTTCAAGTTGAACCCCAGTACAACATGGAGATCTGTTGCATACTTTGAATTTTGTATGGTTGCTGTGGTTTGCTGTCCCATTGTAGCTGCTACTGTTATATTTGCATTTTAGACTATAAATGTTTACCAAATGTTTGAGTCAGGATAAAGTAAACTGTGAAGGCTGTGATAACGAAGCTGGTACTGATGACCCATTCGAACTGAGCGATAGTCGGTTCTCAGCTAGTTCTCAAGAGCCCAAGTTACATAACTGGAGCAACGGTGTGTCCGACGAATTCTGTTAAGCTTTGCAAACGGAGTGAATCCAAGAAAAGCTAAGATTTAAAATCCCACAGGTTTCATTTATTAAGTGACTGTTATTGCTTATGTATGTGCAGTTGAAACCAGACATTTCCACACACATTTTCAAAAATATGTTTTATTAACAATTACATTAAACCGTACTAAAATAGACCCAGAATAATTAGATTTTAAGGTGATTGCTCACATTTTCTTCAAATTCAGAAGCTTTAATAAATTTTATTAGTATTTGAGATATTTGCCATTTGAATAGAATGATTTGAATGTGTTGGGTATTTTTTCACATGCTTCCCATAATAGTTTGCTGGAGTTTTGGTCCATTCCTCCCGTCAGACCTGGTCTTTTATGCAATCTGCCTTGATCACACAGTTTTTTTTAGCTCTACCCACAATTTTCTCTATGGGAGTGGATCAGGGCTTTGTGATAACCATTCCAAAACATTGACTCACTTTGATTCTTTTGTGACTACTTTACTAACTAGGTTTACGGTCATTGTCTGTATGAAAGCACACGGTTTAACTTTCTGCCTTTCTTGAGATATTTCTTTAATATTTCCACATGATCTTATTTTCTCATCTATTTTGTGAAGTGCACCAGTCCCTTCCACGGCAAAACATCCACACATGATGCATTTTCAAGTTCTCCTCTGCTATGATTTGCATTATGGACAAACATTTCAGTGTTATTTTTATTTGACCACAATATATCAAAAATATTAACATATTTGGCTGTAGGTGCATTTGCAAAAGTGTCATTTTTTGTTTTTAGATTTTTTAACTTTTGGTATGACTTCTTCGCCGGGTCGCGTTCCTGCTCACATTGGTACATATTACGCGGTGTATCACACTCTCTTGCCAGATTCTGCCAGCATCTTTCAAAAACAAGTTTTTTGGGGGGGTTGATGTGGACATTTTGCTGTGAAACATGTTCATCTATACGACACAAATCTTATCTCTTTTGTGAACATTTTATAGTTGCCAGTAATATTTTTTGAAACAGATGAATTGGGTGGGAGTTATGAACCAGATTTGTGGAGGTCTGGCATTCCCTTCCTTTGACTGACTGATTTCTTTAAGTTATCCACACAGTGCTACTCAAGAAAACCTTGTGATTTCTGTATGGATAATGACTGCTATTATCTTTTTACCTCAAAAAACATCCACATTTAACTCAAATATTGTGAACTATCCTATCAGATACTTACAAGGCCATGCCATTAATCATCTAGGCTTTTGCAAATTGTTTAAAGGTAATTTAAACTTAAAGATGTAAATGAATTTTGTCTTAATGCATATAAATTTCTGAATTTGAGGGCCTTAATAAAAAATTATTTAAAATATTTAAATATACTTGATTTTGCTAATCAATATAAGTGGTAATCTTATTTTTATCCTAAAACAAGAGGATTTAAATTCTATTTAATGTAATACATCTGATAAATATCTGGTTTCAACTACAAATACACTTAGTGAGTATAAAAAAGCTCATCCATCAATATATGGATTGCCCAAGAAGTGAAGAAAACTGAGTTTCACAGAACCCTAGTTTTATAGGGTGTGGGTTTCTCAGATTTCTACATTGTAACTAAAGACTTTTACTAGAACAAGACTATAAAAAGGTAAATAGTAAATGTCAATGTTCCCCATATTTCACAAGAGCATCTGCAGCATCCTCAAATATTGTCACCACTTGTAAAGATGGGGGTTCAACAGGGGAATAGGAATTAGATTGCTCTAGCATTCTCACTGAAATACTTTTAGAAAATCTAGCTTTTAATTTCAGAACATTTAGTAAATGTGTTGGGGGGGAGATAAGTTTTAATAAGATCTTCAGTGCTGTAATTGGTATCTAATCATCAATGACTTCATATTTACCAAAAGGATAATTATGTTGTAACACCAAAGTCTGATCTTCAAAAGTGGAGAAGGTAAGACACCATACAGTTTAATCAAGGTAGAAATGAGATTTATAAATCAGGAAAGCTGGAAAGAAACAGCTGCTCATCTAGAATGATGATTAAAAAATCACTCTTGAGGTTACTGTGATCTGTGTGAAATTGTTGAAAATACATTTTACAACTTATCTTTTTACATGCTTTCAAGGTGTTGTACTTTTAAGTTGCACTACAACTTTCAGCTTATATTTTTCCAAATATATAAAAAGATAATTATAAAAACTGAAAAAAAGTGTTTTGTCAATGAATCTGAATATAACCCTTTTTTATAATTTAAAACTGCTGCTGGTGTTACTGTTTGAGGTTCACTGGATTTTCTTTTTTCAAATCTTTCTAACAATTTTTTTTATTTTAAGATTGTGACACAGGTTTAAATCTCACATTTACTGTGAAGGGAAAACAAGCAGTAAGCAGCTTTACAGGTAGTTTCAGACTGATTTAAAATAATTATGTAGTAATGTCATTATTAGCAATCCTAGCTTTACATTTGGTGCTGTGCTGCAAATTGAAGACTGTGATTGTATCGTGTGTTCTACTTTAAAAAATCACAAATATATCTGCTGTTTCCCTTTAAAATCACTCATTAAAAACAAAGATTCCTGGATTTGAAGTGTGAATTTACTCCCATTAGCCATATTTTGTGATAGGTTTTTTTTTTTTTTTTTTACTACGTTTTATCTACATTCAAAGATTAGTTTCTCTTTGTTTACCTTTTAATGATTACTTACTGAATCAATTTTTTCTAATTATTGAGCTTTTTTGCGTTGAATGTGAATCAGTCCAACCACAACCCACAACTGGCTAATGTTTAATATATTGTTTACCCATGCTGTAAAGCTTACAGCACACTGACACACAAAGCTGGTTGATTTTGTTACTTGTCTCTCTGATCACCACTATGTTAAATCATGGGGCAGAAATCTGTAGAAATATGCAAACGTGTATCAAAGTTATAATGACAGCAATGTTGTAATTCATTATCAGTAGTGTAATTGCTATTTATTTTTTAGCTATAACTTTTTGACAAGTGAAAGCCAGTAGGTTAATTCTATTTATCAATAACATGAATTGAATGTGCTATTGACCAGAACTGATTAATGTACAAAGTCCTACTCACATCTTAACTAACCTGATGTTTGACCCTCATTCAATTCAAACATTAAATCTCAGATTTGACACACTGAGATTCATATTTCAGTCATTTGGTAATTTTGATTATCTTACTTTGCAGCTAATTATTCCCAAAATTTGACAATTACATAAATTGGAACAAAATAAAATTGATTGTTAATAGGGAATGTCAACATACTGAAAAGATTGTATGAGAACATCTTCTATTAGTTTCTAGTGATACAAATGTAATTTGGGTTCAAACCTCTCCTAAAAGACCAAAGATCAAGGAATAGCTTGTATCTAATGGCATACATATATATATTTTTTTTCTTTTTTTTTTTTTTATGTAAAATTTGCCATAGAAATTAGTTTGATTTGAATTTATTTAAACGACAAATCATCATCATTATTTGAGCTCATTTAAAAGATTACACAAAGTAAGTCGTTCAGAAAGGAGTGAGTCAGGAACCAATAGTTTGGGCATGGCTGGGGTTGATTTTCTGTGTGACACAGAAGTCGCAACCTTTATTTGTGTCCCCTCTGGGTTCGATTGAAAGTCATGGCAGGTCCTGACCTGATAAGAACTGTCCTGTACACGATCAATAACCTTTTACAACAGGAGAAATACAAAGCCGCCTTGGCTGTTGTGAAGGGATTCAGGAACGGAGCTGTGTGAGTAAAACACAAGCAGCTAGCTAGCTTAGCCGCGTTAGTTATACAGCTGCAGTCCTAACTGGGTTTAGTCATCGCTCTATACCTCCTATACTGAGTAAATTATGTTTGAGGAGTAGTTACTGTTATTTTACCCAAAATCAGGTGTGTTTCTATCATGTTTGTTTCAGATATGGAGCAAAGATCAGAGCACCACATGCCCTGGTCATGACATTTCTGTTTAGAAGTGGCAGGTCAGTCCCTGATATGAATATTTACTTTAATTACTTACAATGTAATTGAAGTAATTTGGGGTGTGAACACATTGAATTTATTCCCATTGCAGTTTAAAAGACAAACTTCGAGCCATTTTGAAAGCCACATACACCCACTCCAGGAACCTGGCCTGTTTTGTGTTCACATACAAAGGACTGCAAGTCTTACAGCAGAAGATCCAAGGAAAGAGTCTCCAGTCCCACTCCTTCCTCGCTGCCTGTGTTGGAGGATGGCTGGTGTTTGGAGACAACAACAATATTAACAGCCAGGTAGAGTATGATGCTTTGTAGGTCAGGAGTGTCTGGGGAGAAAAAAATCTGTTAAAATCTTCTTAATAAAAGTTTCCTTGGCTGCCATTCTGTGTTCACCTGTTTGGGTT